CTCCCCACTGGGGATGTGCCCGCAACCAAGGTACATGCCCTTGACTGGAATCGAACCCGGGACCCTTGAGTCCGCAGGCCGACGCTCTATCCACTGAGCCAAACTGGTCAGGGTTACCCTACTGGTTCTTGATTACAGTTGAAAGCCTACCCATGTCCTATTGTTGAAAATATTTCAAAATATAATAATATAAAATAGCTATACACTTTTATACATAGTAAATATGTACAGCTTTTGTTATTCTTTTGCCTGAGTGTCCATTGCGACAGTGTTATAAAACATTTATTATTGGTTTCTCATAGGAAGAGTATGAAGAATTGCTTCGTTATACTACAGTGACTCCAAATATTGAACCAGGTACTTCACAGCCATCTCATTCTAAGGGAGAAGTGGTGCCAGATGTTAGATTTCATACTATAATTGATGATATTCTTCAGAATCAAGGTTATGTATAGTTTTCAAAACATCTCCTAAGATGTTATTTGAGCTTATTAATGCAATTGACTTATGATTGTTAAAATGCTTCTCCAGTCAATGGTGAATATCACTATTATCTGGGGAAACTCTTTACATTTTAATATGTTATTCTTGGCTCTTATATGACAGCTGGATCTTAGAGCTTCCTTTGACTTACTTTTCTGAAAAGTAATACATTTAAAGCAACACTGTAGCCATTGCTTGTCTCTTAGTGAAATATGTAACATCTCTGTATTTGTTCTAATGGTTTTTTGTCAGGATTATCTTGAAAAATAAATGCCCAATCCCCCAAATTAAAGATGGTCCATCGGTAGCCCTCAGAACCCCTTAAGTTTATGAACCATGTGCTGGGACTTTGTCAGCAGTATTTATATAGGCATAGAGGACTGTTTGAATTATCACCACAAACGTGAATCCATCCTTGGACTATGTCAGTAACAGAATTGAGAGCTAGAGCTAATACAAATCAGGATGTATGATGATAGATGAGTAAAAGGTTGAAAAAGAAGGATGAAGCTCCTTTTACCTATTTGTCCCTTATTTAGCAAAGTACAGGATCCCAAACAGCTCACTCTAAATAAGGGTACAGAAAGCCCTTATAAAACAGCTCTGATAATGGGCAGTTATCAACAATAAATAAACCCTAAGGATCCCTCCTTGAAGGCACATGACACAGCCTACTCACAGTCAGCAGGCTCCTCGTTTTCTTATGTCACAGCCGTAGTGTCTATTGTCCTTCTCCCTCTGTAGACATGGCCTTTCCATTGCTTCTCAATCTTTGACCTGTTGCATTGGACCAACAAGTAGACCACAATTGTAAAATACATATACTTATTCTACCACTGAACCATTTTAGCACTGAATACTTTCTATCCAAATTTATTGATCTTTAAGAGATACGACCCTTGAATTCATTTTTATATCAGTGATATTGACTGTGTTTTGATTATACTGGCACCTCAACATGGAGTTCCTACTGAGCAAACCCAAAGTGTTGCATACTCCCTTACAAATGAATTTAGGCAATTAGTGTATTAGCCCTCTAAACCTCTGCCCTTAAGGTGCTCACCAAAAGCTTGTTTGCTTTTCCATTGGCTACAGTATTACTGTACTGTTGTTCCTAGTGACACAACACAGGAGTTCTTTCCATGCCCCAACTCTGCAACCTTTCACGGTTATCACTTGAGACTTAAGACCCCTGTTCTTTTCTAGTATGTAGGGTAGTATTTGTTTATGCTCTGCCTTTATCAAAAAGGACTTGAGACCTAAGCATACAACATGCAGAGAATTTAGATTATCTTGATTTACACATGGACTTGGTTAGAATGGACTATGTAAATTTATCATCCCATTCCCTTTATTCTTGGTATTGCCATTGTTTAGTATAAGTGAGGTGTGTCAGAGTTGGCAAAGTCATTCTTGTGAGGTTTTTCCCACTTTCCTTTTCACCATGTATTGACTAAAGGTTCCTGAGGTGGAAGTAAGGAAGTCCCTGTTTTGGGGGGAACGGGTGTCACTTTAGTTTGATTGCAGCTAGTGAAAAGCAGCCAGCCCCTAGAAATATCCAATGTTATTATACAGCATAGCCTTTTCTAAGTTCTAATGTCATTCATCCACTGATTCTCAGTGTGAATTGAATGCCACAGTAGACTGACTTCTCTTTCATCCATATTTGGTGGGTAGAATTGAGTTTATTAATATAAGACTTTTTCTAGTTTCAGAATCTTTTCTTTATTCTTATTCCTTTTTTTAATGTTCCTCTAATCCACCATGTTATATTTTCTTTGTTCTAAAATCTTATTTATATACCTCAACCTTCTTAAGTTAGGTGTGTGTGAATAGATATTTTATTTAAGAGTGCTTTGGGGTGTTTTTCTTTACAGTAAGAAGAGAAAGAGAAACAAGGACGGAAGTTAGAAAAGGATGTGATTTAAATATTTCAAGTCATTCAAAGACAGAAGGTATTACTTTTCTTTAGCTTGTTTTTATTAATATACAACATTTTGTGGTTTGATGAATATTATCTATGTAGTAAGAGGAATATTTTAGCATATTATTGACAGGATTTTAAAATGCTGTTGTTTCTAACTTATTAATACTATTTAAAATAATTTTATAATAATCAAAATAGTACAATTAAGAAAAACAGGTTTATTTATTATACTATGTGACATCCTTTCTTAAATCTCCTAGGTTAGAGGGCAATTTTCTTTTTAATTTTTAGGTTATTTCTTTTTTTAATGTTTTTATTGATTAAGTTATTACATGTGTCCTTATCCCCATGTTACCCCCTATCCCCCCAGTCATGCCCTCACCCCCCTGTTGTCTGTGTCCATTGGTTAGGCTATATGCTTGCATATAAGTCCTTATTTTTATTGTTTTCAGAGAAGGAAGGGAGAGGGAAAGAGAAAAATACATCAATGATGAGACAGAATCATTGATCAGCTGCCTTCTGCACGCCCTTTTACTGGGGACTGAGCCCACAACCCAGGCATGTGCCCTTGATCAGAATCTACTGGGGACCCTTCAATCCCCAGGCTGACGCTCTGTCCACTGGGCCAGACTGGCTAGGGCAAGAGGACAAATATTTTTAAAGATTCAAAAGGATATCAGATAGTTTGGCCGATTTAAATTTTGCATAATGCATCATTTCCCAATTTTCAGGCATTTGTGTACTAACTTTATGATTTTCTTCCTATCTTTATTCCACCTATTCTATCATTTAAGTGTTTTCATATATATTAATTTTTAGCTTTTTATTTTAAAAGAAAAATATGTTACATATGTTATTACTGTTTACAGCATAAAACTAATATAATCTTGTTACAAATAGAAAGCAATGGTAAAAATAAATGCAACTCAAACAAGTTATTAAAGTTTGGTTGAATACTATTGGTGGTGGTGTGTTCAGCCTGATTAGCAAGTGTTACAGAGGTTTTAAAAGCATACTAGCACCAGATTGAAACTTTTTCTTTGACATAGAATAAATAATATAGTAAAAATAGATCACTTTTCATACTAGGTGATTCAATTTTATTTAATGTAAGGGCCATTTAAGCCACCATATAAGAAGTGCCTCTATCCTTTAGTTTTCTCACTTATAAATAGAAGGCTTGGGCAATGTAATTTCTGGGGGATCTTCCAAGTTCTTTTTTTTTTTTCCTTCTTTTACTTTTATTAGTATTTATTTCATACTGAATTTACTCTCAGGCTTAAGTTTTTGTTTCTTCAGTTTCTTCTGTGGTATCTTTTTCTTCCGTGCAACCTCCTCTTCTGGTTTGGAACAGTCTGCTATTTTTCAGTAAGGATCATCTCAATGTGGCAGGGAGAGCTCATGTATAGGTTCATCTACCCATGAGCTCTGTAAGTTCTGTACCATATCTTAAGAGTTTTATTCACCTGGATGTGCTCAGTGACCAGAGACTCTACATCTGAACCCTTAAGCTCAGCATTACTCTCTACATTTTTAAGTATGTGTAGCAAAAATTTAGCACTCTTTTTGGGCCACCGACTCTGTGTCCAGCACAACTGTTTGGACTGGACACACCTATCAACTCTACCATTGTAACGACAGAATAGCACATATAGCTTCTATAATAAAAGAGAAACATGCAAATTAACTGTCCCTCTGCTATGCTGAAGTCACGCCCACAAGCCAATCAGGAGCGAGTATGCAAATTAACCCAACTAAGATGGCGGCGGCCACAGAGCTGGAGCAAGCAGGAGGCTTGGGTTGCCCCTGGCGATGGAGGAAGCCAAGCTTCATGCCTGCCCTGGCTGGTTGTGGCCTCTGCTCAAGGCAACAAAGTTTCAACTATAGAAGATAAATAAATCCCAGATACCTGCTTCCAGCCAGCCTTCACTGGGAGCCTGGGTGGCTAGGGGCTGTGGCCAGCCTGCAAACACCCATCAGACCCTCACCCAGGATGGCCAGGCACCCCAGCAGGATCCCCCCACCTCCCTGAAGGGGTGTGGCCAGCCTGAAAATAGCCTCAGCCACTCACCCAGGCTGGCCAGGCACTTTAGCAGGGACCCCCACCCTGAAGGGGGTGTGGCAAGTCTGAAAACGGCCCTCAGCTCCTCACCCAGGCTGGCTAGGCACCCAGCGGGACCCCAACCCTGATCTGGGACACCCTTCAGGGCAAACCAGCTGCCCCCCACCCATGCACCAGGCCTCTATTTTATATAATAAAAGGGTAATATGCAAATTGACCCTAACAGCAGAACCACTGGGAATAACTGGTCACTATGACACACACTGACCACCAGGGGGCAGATGCTCAATGCAGGAGCTGCCCTCTGGTGGTCAGTGCGCTCTCACAGGGGGAGCTCTGCTCAGCCACAAGCCAGGCTGCCAGCTGCCAGCACAGTGGTGGTGGCAGGAGCCTCTCCCGCCTCCTCAGCAGCTGTAAGGATGTCCGACTCCAGCTTAGGCCTGCTCCCCGCTTGCAAGTGGACATCTCCTAAGGGCTCCCGGGCTGCCAGAGGGATGTCTGACTGCCAGCTTAGGCCCGATATCCCGGGGAGCAGGCCTAAGCCAGCAGGTGGACATCCCCCTGGGGTTCCCAGACTGTGAGAGGGCACAGGCCAGGCTGAGGGACCCCCCCCCCCCCCCCCCCCCCTGGCCCCCCCCCCCCCCCCGAGCCTCTAGTAGCTTCTATAAAATGACATCCTTCAAATACATGGTGGCTTTTTGGATTCCTATCCCCATGATGGCCTTGGCAGTTTCACAAGTGTGCTTAAAGTGAACTTAAAGATCTGAACCTCTTAATTTGCCTGATTTTGTGGGGTTTTCTTGGTCAAGTGAATAGCAAACCAAGATTCCATTTTTTTTAAAGGTGAGTGTATTATTAAAAAAAAAAAAAAACCAGAGTCCATGAGTGCAGATCTAGTTAGTAAAATCTAGTAAAAAAATACTATTCATGTGCCTTATTATTTGAGTTCCTAAACCATCTTCAGAATATATAGGTAGTGCTACATAGTGTGACTAGCTTAAACCATTTGTTTATATATTTTATGCAAAACATACATATTAGAGAATGATTTCCTCCTTTTGCAAATATTCTTGATTTACTTTTAAGTAACAAGTTCTATAGTAGATTTATCTTTATCTTTATCTTGAGTCATTCAGTAAGGAAGAGAGAAAAGCCCTTCAGGCTTAGTCATAGGACCCTCATAACAAAAGTGTGATATGCAAGAAATGATGATCAGTAGTCTCTAATTCCAACATACATGTTTGATAAAATATTCTGTGCTTTTTTAAAGATAGATACCAGTTCTCTTTCTGGCTCTGGCTCTCACTCCCATCTCTACACCTTGTATGGCAGGAGATGGGAGTGTGTGTGTGTGTGTATGTGTGTGTATATGTATATATATGTGTGTGTGTGTGTATATTATATAAAGTATATATATTTCTTACCTATATGTTGAGGGCAAACAGGGTATCTTATAGTTGAGTATCTGATAAATTAAATTACTAGTCTCTACTTATAGTGCTGGCATTTAGTAGTATTAAAACTCATCCCAGTGTTCTACATAAAGTAATAATAACCTATATACAACCACTCTGACCTTGGTCAATTCCTTAACCCTTTCTGAACCTCAGTTTTGGAATCAGTAAAATGGAGATAATAGTATGTATTTCTTAGGGTAGCATGTATTATGAGAGCTAACCCTTATAACATTTTTATTATAGGAACATACAAAGCACTTAGAAAATGCTGATATGATGACACAGATAATAATAGTTTCAGCTCAGGCTGGAGCTGGATATATGAAGCATCTTTATTTGAGTATAGGAGGCATCTCATGCTGATTAGTCCTAAATCAGTGATAATACTGAAATTTAAATTATCCAGATTAAGTACACTGAAAAGTCATTTCTCTGCATTTTTCTCAGCCTCTATAGTAACTGACATCTTCTAGCCTTCCAATATAAGTCCTCGCCATTTTGGGTTGTTTTCAGTTTGCCTTAACCAGTAAACTTTTTTTCATTCTAGGGTTATCACCAGTGTCATCACCAAGGAAGCCTTTTCACCCCGTCATGGATTTTTTCAGTTCAAATCTTTTAGGCGACTCTTCCACACCAGGGTCTAATTCTAGTCATCCAGGTATCCATGAAATAATTGTGGGCAATTCTGTTGTTTCTGAAGAAAACCTTCAAAAGGTGGAAAGTGTACTGGATCTTTGGAGTTCAGGTCTTAAGGTATTGTTGTTGGATTAGTATAATAATTTTGCTCTTAATCCCAGTTTTTCTTTTCTTTAAAATAAAAGGTTCTTTTATACTTTAGTTTTAGATCCGTCCAATGTCTAAAATCTGTGCTTCTTAGTCTTTGGTGTCCATATGAATCCCCCAGGAATCCTGTTGAACTTCAGCTTTTTATTCAGTTGTTTTTGAGGACCTGAGATTATGCATTTCTAACAATATCCCAGGTGATGCTGCTGGTTCAGAAAACATACTTTAAATAGCAAGGTTTTAAATAGTTGATGGGACAGTCTACTGAATTTCTCAGATGTTTTGAAAGACTAACCCTGTATGTGACTGAGACACTCAATGAACCTTTACTATATTGTAGCTATGACTAATGAAAATGTCTCCTTTATATGAAATACAAAATCCAATTTTAGCAATATGTATTCATTTTATAGCCATTCTTATAGCAACCACAATGTATAACTGATATCTCTATAAAAACAGATTTTTATTTTTAGTAATGTTAGTGGCCTTTAAGTAAAACAAAGTATTACAGAAATGGCAGAGAGCCTGGCCAGTTTGGCTCAGCAGTTGAGCGTCAACCCAGGAACCAAGAGGTTGCCAGTTTGATTCCTGGTCGGTGCACATGCCTGGGTGGTGGGCTCTATCTCCAGTAGGGGTATATGCAGGAATAAGCCAATCAGTGATGTTCCTCTCTCATCGATGTTTCTATCTCTCTCTCTCTTTTTCTCTGTCTCTAAAAATCAATAAAAACATTAAAAAAAAAAAAAAAGACTCACTTTAAAAAAAATTTACCAAAAAAAAAAGTGGCAGGGTTTCTTTTTGCTATTTAAAATATAGTTGAGAAAATAATCATTTTTCTGAAAGATAGTTTGAGAAAACGAAGCTGAATATTCACATGTATAGAGAAATTATGGTCATGAGAGTTCTGGGGCATCTATATTTCTCTGTTATTTGAACTATAAATCCCAGATATAATCTTTTAGTATAGTTTCTACCATTTCCCTCATGGAACAGGTTTCATACTTCTTTTCATGGTGTAAGTCAACTTTAGTGGTGTACCACCAACCACTTAAATTGTTCTATGTTCAGTTAACCATATTATCTGATTTTTGATAACATGATTATTTGGTCTTTTTATTTATGCCAATCAGTAGAGTGAAAAGGGATCAGACTTAGCAATTTGTTAAGGTAGCCATTGTGATAAATTATTTGGGGGAAGAAAGCATGAACTCCCATGGTTCCCACTGTCCACCTCTATCTAAATAACATCCAGTCCTATGGCTCACCCTAGCGCATGGCCCTACATTTCTTTTTTTCTAACCTATCTTAATATGGACATTTAAGTTCTTGAATAAACAAAGAAACTGTTTATTTAGTGAATTAATGAATAAAACCTGAAATTTTTTTAAATGACAATAAGATTTAATACAAAGTAACTTAAAATAAAAAAAATTCCTATCTTTAGTATGCTGAATGTGAACCAAGAGGAGCTGTAACTGTTGAACTTGTAAATGTTTTCATTAGTGATTTTTTTAAAAATAGCTTTCATGTTGATTGCTTGTTCTGATTTTTTAAAAGTGTTTCTTAATTTCGGTGTAATTTCAAGAAGCACTATTAAGGAACAAACTGCTTAGTTATCAGAATATTTCTTTTTCAGACAAACGTCATATCTGAACTAACTAAATGGAGACTAAATTTTATTGACTGGCACCGTATGGAAATGAAAAAAGAGAAAGATAAACATGCAGCACATTTAAAACAACTGTGCAACCAGATCAACAGCTTGAAGGAGCTGCAAAAAGCCTATGAAATTTCCATTGGGAGAAAAGATGAGGTGTTCTCTTTTATATTTCTTTTAACTGAGATTCAGTAAATGTCTTGCTAGATAATAAGTGTCAGGAAGTACACTGGTTGGTGTGGCTAAGTTGGTTAGAGCATAGTCTGGTGCACCGGAAGGTCATCCATTTGATTCCCAGTCAGGGCACATACCCAGGTTTCGGGTTCGATACCCGGTCGGGGCAAGTGCAGAAGGCAACCAATAGATGTATCTCTCTCACATCTCTCTGCCCCTCACCCTCACTTTCCTTTTCTCTTCCTCTCTCCCTGTCTCCCTCTCTTCCTTTCTTTCTCCCTCCCTCTCTCTCCTTTCTCCCTTCCGCCCTAAGAGGCCAGGAAGTGTGTTTTTTTTAGGTCATGCAAGATACAACGGGAAGATCACTTCAGAAACTGGTAGAAAAATAGGTGCATGGATATACAATTTATCTTCCTATTAAACATGCCATGGTCATGCCATTTTATCTTTGAGATAACTTCAATGTGCTTGGAGTTTTAAGAGTACATGCTAAATGTACATACTAATTTTTCCTTCCTAACTGCCCATAAGAGAAGTTTAGGGAACCAGCATTATCCACATTTTAAGCCATCTTTTAGGGGTTATTTTAAGTTTCTCACATTATATCTGTGATAACTCTTTATTCACTGAAGAAGTCTGTTTTTTTATTGATAAACAGCACCTTTTATTTCACTTTCTGTTAGCCTGTTAAGAACTTGAAAGTAAGGTTCAGGTGCGTGCTAATTTTGTGCCTCCAGACAACACCTTGAACAAAGCAGGTGGGCAACAAATCAGTGGCTGCCCCCAGGGGGATGGTGGCTTTCAGAGAGAAGGGACTCAGCAAACACCTCAACTACTAGTCTGTAGATGTAGCACTCACTGTTTTAATTAACTGGATAAGGAGTCCAGTGTTTTTTTTAAAATATATACTTTTCTTTTGGTATTGCAAGGTATGATATAAAATTGAACATTTTTCATAGTTTACTTTTTTAAATAGATATTAATATCAGTCATTTTCTCTATTATCCTCAAAACTCCATCTTAAGGCTTTTAATTTTAAAGTATCACACATAAAAAAAGAGTTGTACATATATGTCCAATTTTTTAAAACAAAGAAAGTGGATAGCCACCACCATACAACTTTAGAAAGAGAATATTAACAATATCTTAGAATGTATGCCCTTTTCCACTTTTAAAAATTATTTAAAGAAACCAGAATAAATATCTCTCAGTAAATGTGCCCAATTTACAAAATTTCTTTTTGTGGCCATTTTTAGATAGACATTTCAGCTACTCGGTACTTTATAAGAGAGAGTATTGTCGCCCTAACCTGTTTGGCTCAATGGATAGAGCATCAGCCTGCGGACTGAAAGGTCCCAGGTTCGATTCCGGTCAAGGGCATGTACCTTAGTTGCAGGCACATCCCCACTGGTGGGTGTGCAGGAGGCAGCTGATGGATGTTTCTCTCTCATCGATGTTTCTAACTCTCTATCCCTCTCCCTTCCTCTCTGTAAAAAAATCAATAAAGTATATATTTTTTTAAAAAAAGAGAGAGATAGAGTATTGTCTTAGGATTTAAAAGCCTCCATAAATTTTTTTTAAAAGAACAAGAATGAGCCCAGCCATTGTGACTCAGTGTTTGAGCATGTACCCATGAGGAGGTTATGGTTCAATTCCTGATCAGGGCACATGCCCGGGTTGCTAACTCGGTCCCTAGTAGGAGTCATGCAGGAGGCAACCGGTCAGTGATTCTCTCTCATCAATGATGTTTCTATCCCTTCTCCCTCTCCCTTCCTCTCTCTGAAATTAATAAAAACATTTTAAAAATATAATAATACATAAATAAAATAAAAGAATAACAACATTGAAGAAGTACATCATAGTATGACTATTTTCTTTTATGAGTTTGTTGAATTCAGGAAAAAATTATTAAATAGTTATTGAGCCTGGCCAGCCAGCATGGTTCAGCATGACTCAGTGGTTGAGTGTTGACATATGAACCAGGAGGTCACGGTTCCATACTGGGGGTTGTTGGCTCGATCCCCTGCAGGAGGCGTGCAGAAGTCAGCTGATGAATGATTCTCTCTCATCATTGATGTTCCTCTCTCTCTCTTTTTCAATCTGAAATCAATGAAAATATTTTTTAAATAAAACAGTTATTGAGAAACTTATAATCTAAGGTACTAAAGGTATTTAGAGCCTAGAAAGATATATAAAATCTGGCCTCTGCCCTCAATCCTAGTCAATAAAGACTTTTTGTATATGTAGCAAAACTTTCAAAGAATGCTTGTTTTTCTTGAATTAAATGTCAATCACCATATAGGGTAGGGCACAAGTAGGTTTAGGTGAAACACAGAGTTTATTCTTGTATTAGTTTTTAATTATTGTATTATTTTCCATAGGAATAACTAAACCTACTTGTGTCCCACCCTGTATTAATTTTTATGTACATAAATTTCTTTTGGTGATTACCAAGATACACATAATGAGATTTCTTTCCTCTTTTGTTTCCCTTCATGTAGTGTATTCATGTGGAGAAGTGTTTTTGGTCTTTTTAAAGATAATAATGAAGTTAACTGGATGACTATAGTAGTGATCCATTGATATTCTCTAGCACTTTTTGATATATGAGAAAAAACACTTTACTAGCAGCTGTTACTGTAACATCACAGTAACTGGCCTAGTTGCTGTTCACAGGTGATTTCCAGCTTGTCTCACGCCATAGGCAAGCAAAAGGAAAGGATGGAGCTGATGAGAACATTCTTCCACTGGCGGATTGGCCATGTCAAATCCAGACAGGATGTAAGTATAAAAACGAAAAGACGACAGACACACATTAGACTTCTGGATTCAGAATTGTTTAGGATCAAGTCAAAATGAATTTAAGGTTGCTCTCATTTCAAGGAATTTGATTTTGGTATGGTTTGGGAAAAATACCTCATATTTTATAGATCTATTGATATATCATTTCCTTTGTCACAATAGGTTAGTAGGGATTATACCTAAATTACAAATGCCTTGGTAATGGAACCCCTTTAACAAATTTGACTCAGATACCATTATATGGAAAAAGAATTTACAGTCTTTAACATATCATATGGTTCCCATATTGTTTCTCCTTGTAAAATGCCTGAATGCATTCTCCTCAAAAAGAGGCAACACTATAGTTATACATTATAAAATTGTATAAATGTTCGTTGTGTAGACTTGCCTTAGAGTGAGAATTAAAGCAATGTCTGTATAGCTTTTTAAAAATTATCCTTAGTTTGTACATAATTTAAATTTGAACATTGTTCATTTTAATTAAATAAGAGCTGAATCAATATATCAGAGTATAGGCAAACTGAGAGAGAATAATAAGTTATTGTCTCAGAAGTGGAAAAGTATGAATATGTATATATCCTACAAGAAGACAGAGTATAAAGACTCAAGAGTATGCCCTGACCAGTTTGGCTCAGTGGCTAGAGCGTCGGCCTGCGGACTGAAAGGTCCCAGGTTCGATTCCGGTCAAGGGCATGTGCCTTGGTTGCGGGCACATCCCCAGTAGGGGGTGTGCAGGAGGCAGCTGATCGATGTTTCTCTCTCATCGATGTTTCTAACTCTCTATCTCTCTCCCTTCCTCTCTGTAAAAAATCAATAAAAAATATTTAAAAAAAAAAAAAGACTCAAGAGTATAGGAGGTGGATATATATATATATATATAGTTTTAATGTAATGCTCATGTGAGCCATCGACTGATCTCTGTGCATTAGTTCCAATAAATTAATATTAAATGTTAATATTTTTAAAACAATATTTAGTATTAATAACATCAATATTTAATATTCCACTATCATGGAATAGGATTCCTCCTAATGCTTTCATTTTTTTATTAATCCCAATAGATCAATCTACATTAATCAGACTGAAAAGAGCTATTTAAAATATGAGTATTTAGACCATATTTTGAAAGTTATTTATCAAGTGACATAATGAGAATATATTATGTTTTTATGTTAGCTGAAATAGTTGAGGCTGCCATCACTTTTTGAATAGCTTTTCAAATTTAAGAAGATTGAAAATTGGAACTACTTCTTCAAAAGAATTTAAATTCATTGATAAAAAGAATAGCATATGTTCCTGTTTGAATCAGTTTGGCACTATATATGATGAAAGTATGTAAATTAAATTAATCTTGCTTATGGTGGTGTCCACCAAGCTGAAGGGAAAACAATGCCATCTGAAGCCATAGTTACCTTTTTGCCTTCCAACCACTCTGTTGTCCTAGTCCTGGTTTCAGCTAAAGGGTCATGCAGATTCAGAACTAAGATGGCAAGTGGCAAGTTACTCATTTTCTTTCATTTGTTTTTTGTTGTTGTTTTTCCCCTAACTTGATTAGTTGCATAAAACAATGATGTGTAATGGATAAGAAAGAGCTTAGGCTCTAGAATGAGGCAAGGATGGCTTTTCACTGTCTACTTAGGCAGGTTACTTAACCTCTATAAGCCTGTTGTCCTCTATGCAGATAAGAATAACTACACAGGATTAAATAATGTATGTACACTGCTCACCACTGTGTTAGGTTTCTTTTTATTACTGCCAGTGTATTTACCAGTGCACTGTGTTTTAAGGTTATAATACTTTCATTTAGGCTTATGAAGGGAAACTAGCTGACCAGTACTTCCAGAGAAATTTACTGAAGAAAGTGTGGATAGGCTGGCATTCTACGGTGCAAAAGAAGTGGAAGGACGTGGTGGAGCGAGCTTGTCAAGCAAGAGCTGAAGAAGTTTGTGTCCAAATTTCCAATGATTATGAAAACAAAGTTGCTGTGGTAAAACTTCTATTTTTTAATTTATTTTTACTTTCCTTTAATAGAAATAAACAAGATGGGTAGCATCACTCACTGTTACATTATAGTTAGGCAGAGTGACCCATTTAATGCAGTGTATCTTCAAATGAGACTATGTGACTATTTGGGGAAGAACAACACTAATGAGTCAGATTTACAGACTTATTTATTCTTTAAAAGTTATAACTCTGGCCTCCAAACTTACATTGGAACTCTTGTGTGTACATGTGTCTTGACAATGTAAATCACTCATAGATCCTTATATCTCTTAAAGCATGCTTTCTTATACTTCTTTTGGCTTTTATTTAGCCAAGAATAGAGACCAAAACCAAAAATGTTTATCCTCTTGTTAATTTAAATAAACTTTATTCATATAAGGTTGATTTAAAGCAGTTGGATACAAATTGGAATTATTTTCCCATTGACTTCTAATAATAAAATTAACGTTTCCATGGGAAAACATTTGAGACTCAAAATGAAATAAAAACTGTATTGAACGTCGAAACCGGTTTGGCTCAGTGGATAGAGCGTCGGCCTGCGGACTGAAAGGTCCCAGGTTCGATTCCGGTCAAGGGCATGTACCTGGGTTGCGGGCACATCCCCAGTAGGAGATGTGCAGGAGGCAGCTGGTCGATGTTTCTCTCTCATCGATCTTTCTAACTCTCTATCTCTCTCCCTTCCTCTCTGTAAAAAATCAATAAAATATATTTTTAAAAAAACTGTATTGAAGAATGCAGTAGGCCTCTTGAAATAAAATACTAAAAGGAAAAAATATTTCATTATTATAGTACAAAGTTCTTACTGTTAAAAATCAGTATCATAATACAAACAATTTTCTGCAATTGAAAATGACATGCAAAAAATGGAGTTCCTTTAGATTTCGTCTATGGGAAAATGTGTTGCAACTAATATCACTTTGCACTTTAAATTCTATAGTATCATTTAGTTTTTTAAAATGCTGTTAATATTACAGGCACTTAGTTATTTTTTTTCCTAAAGGAGTGAGGGTTGTCTGTGGCTCTTAATGTATTTTGTTTAATATTCTACATAAAAGATTTATGGTAAGAAATGGTATATCTTTTTGTATAATTAAAACACATCAGCAACCTTCAGTGGGACTGGTATACAATTCCCCTTGTTTGAACCTTGACTTTATAATTAGAAATGGAAATGGTTTGTTGAAAGACACTAAAAGTAAGATGCACCGTTTAAAATAAAGTGAGACACATAGCAGAAGAGGCATGTGGCAAAGTGTTTTTAGTACCTGTATTTCACCTAAAAATACTTCACAGTGTAAGTCTACTTTTTAACAATAAATAATATCCTTCCTTGTATTAACAACCCTTTTTTAAAAAAATTCACCTTATTTTAGTTATCTGGAGCTTTGGAAAATGCAAAAGCTGAGATCCAAAGAATGCAACATGAAAAAGAGCACTTTGAAGATTCCATGAAGAAAGCTTTCATGCGGGGGGTGTGTGCATTAAATCTTGAAGCCATGACAATGTTTCAAAACAGAAATGATGCAGGTTAGTGTTTTACTTAAGAGTTTCTGCCTACTTTCAAAAAGAATTTGAGATTTCAGTAATTAGTGTGGTCTATAGTACTAATTTTCTGCAATAGATATGTCTCATCCAAGTACTGTATTTTATTTTTAATATATATGTATTTTTTTAATTAATTTCAGAGAAGAAGGGAGAGGGAGAATCATTGATTGGCTGCCTCCTGCATGCCCCCTACTGGGGATCGGGCCCGCAACCCAGGCATGTGCCCTTGACCGGAATTGAACCTGGGACCCTTGAGCCTACAGGCCGACGCTCTATCCACTGAGCAAAACCAGCTGGGGCCAGGCACTATATTTTTAACTTCATAGTGTCATATCCAGTTTTAAATCTATCGTGAAAATTCACTACTCAGGGTTACTTAAACTCTTAAGTATATAGGCTCAGAGTTACAACAATGCTTTGAATGTATAATGCCTTTAAGTGCAAAATTTCTATTTTTATCTTTTCCTAAGTAGCTAGTTTCCTTGGACTATTTTGTTGATTAAATATTTCTTATCTAGCCATGGTTTTCCATTTTTAAAAATTGCTTGTTTTCCAATTTAAGAGAAACCACAATTAAAACTCATTTCCAAAAGTTATAAATATAGATCTGTCTATAGAAATAAAAAATTAGAAAATTATTTCAAGGGAAGGAGAAACCAAGATGGCGGCATAGGTAAACACCGGAAATTGCTGCCTCCCACAACCACTTCAAAAATATAACTAAAAGACAAAACGGACATCATCCAGAACCACAGGAAGGCTGGCTGAGTGGAAATTCTACAACTAGAAGGAAAGAGAAAAGCACACTGAGACTCAGAGGAGGTGCGGAAGTAAAGTGCAGAGGTACGGAGGCGCACGCAGAAAGGGCTGGCAACTGAGGACACAGTTGTCTTTTTCAATCGGGCGTCTCAAGTCCTGACTGCTCTGAACTCCAGTTCTGGGCAAGTCTCTGGGGACCCAGACTCATACG